AGGGAGTTCTTTTCCATTTTATGTTCTTTTGATGTGTTTGATGTGTTCTGTTCATGCAAACAGATAGAAGTGTTTCTTGTTCAATTTGTCTATTTTTTGGATTTGGAGACCTGTGTTGTTCATTGATTTGTTCCGTTGGTTGTTTTATCGTCATTGCTTCAGGAGGAAGACCGTTTCGGGTTTTGTAATTCGGCGCAAAGCCACTGTGGGACGGTCTTCCTCATCACCCTCGGTCACAGCTTTGGAGGGATGAAGCTCGTCCCTCCCGTGTCCGGTGACATACTAGAAGGGCTTGTCCATTGCGCTGACCCTAGTGACCCGCACCCCTCGTCTTGTGGACTGAGCTGGGCAGACATGGGTGTGAGCTGCGCTGGGTAGGCTGGTCGAACTCTTCTGCACCGAACCCACAAGGTCGGAACGCAGCTTCCCCCCAGCCAGACTGAGCTACACAACCAGACAGCGAACGTTGGATCCACGTCCAGCTGGGCACACGCTGCACCTCCGCCTCCTTACTCGGTCTGGGTGAAGAGATCTTCGACATCAAACCCAGCTGCTGAGCGGGGTCCTAAGAACATTCAAGTTGTATAAGTTGTATATGGTCCATGCTGTATCATCATATTCAATCAGTAAAATTCAATCAACATAAATCAGCAGAAGAAAAGGAACCACAAACAACCACAGATGGGAGTATTTGCTTGTTGAATTCAATGCCAACGCCCTATGAAACATTCAACCACTCTTAACTTGGGGAAATGTTTGGCTTAACATTGTTCTGGGCGCCCCAGATGTTTTTTGTCCTTCTCCCATGTTGTTGTTGCACCAGACTTTGTGTCCCGGACGGAACAAGGTTAATATAAAACTTCATGGGACTCGGATAATGAAATGGGGTGGGGTGGGGCATGTTAACGTTCATGTGCACTTGCGTGGGATGTTGATGCTATGGGTTGTGTTAACGTTCATTTTCACTGGGGTGGGGTGGGGTGGGGTGGGGCATGTTAACGTTTATGTGCATTTGCCGTTCATTGTGCACGTTCGTCACATTGCACTCTGGGAGAGAATAATCCAATGGATCTATCGTCATAATTCCAGAGTATAGCACCGCAACCTCCATGTTATTCAAACGTACCCAAAGTGCCTACGATTTTCTCACCCACCATCAAAAACTTCAGGGTTGCGAAAAGCCGTGTTACCATGTCTTTTGCTGGGCCTTTGTGGCCAACTCAGTTCCCATCAGCCCACCCAACACCCAACACCGGTTAGTGCCGCTCCGCTCGGTCTCGGTCTCGGTCTCCGGTGTGAGAGGCGAGACCAGAAGCCTGCGGAGGCGGCGAGCGGGGCTGTGGCCTTGGGAGCGGGGCGATCCGTCCCCAGGCCCCAGGCCTCCTCGGTTCCACGCCTCTGGTTTTAGTGCATTTTCCAAGCTGCAGGAGCACTTCAAGTGTGCCTTCCAAATTGGAGGGGTCATCACCAAGTTTGTTCCCAGGCCCAACAGAAAGCCCAGACACTCCGCAATTTTACCAACCACCCCAACTGATTGGTCAATCTGTCAGTCCCAGACAGGCCGTGTTTGGGAAAGGCTTCGAATTCACATCTATTTCCTGACTTCCCGACGATGAGACTTCCCTTACGCTCGCGTACGCCGCTCGCGTCGCGGGTGTGGTTCCCATCTCGTCAGTTTGCCTGCCAGGCTGCGGTTATCGATTTGCCACCGAAAGACTTCTCAGGTGGGGGGGAATAGCCTGAAAATGGAGGCTGGAATACGAGTTTGATGCTTGGAATAGCTAGCTTTGTGAAGACCACCCAAACAGTGGGCGAACCTCTTCGAGGCTTTTCTTTAAGCTATTCCAGCGGAGATTACAAAAAACAACATCACTCAGTAATCCTGCAACACTCCAAGCATCTGTGAATCAATCCTGCATCCATACCATCCACCCATCCATCACTCGTTCGCCCCCTTGTTTTCCCCACACTAACCGCTTGGATCGTCGCTTGGCCGCGAGTCGCTTGGCCCGGACCATTGCGGCCGAACATGAAGGTATACAACATGCGCTTTCGTTCCTGTGGGAGCCGTCCGATTGGTGGTGGGATGTTCACCCGGTTTCAAGAGAAATGTAAAATGACTGATCTCATCTTATCCAACACCCAGTGGTGATGGGTGGTGATAGGGACAACATGGTCAGTTTGTTTGGAACGTACATGATCATTGATTTGATGGATGTCATCCGTAATATGGTCTATAGGTAGTGGTCTACGTAATCCAGCTTGGGTGATCGGATGGACATTGTCAGTTCATTGTCAGTTAAGCGTCCAGGGCAGCGCGACGACCTTTTGGCCTTTGAAGACTTGCGACAAAGCTTCACGGGCAAGCGCGGAGACCTAAGCGATGCGAAAGCGCTAAGCCACAAGGGCCGTGTTCCCGTGTTCACGATGGCCACGGAACGGATTGATTTGTTTTAAAGCAAGTTTTGGACCTGGCTTTGTTGGGTGTACAGGTTTATACAACATGTTAATGGTCTTAACACGTAGGGGAAAACCCAAGCGCCGAGTCTACCAAGCGCCGAGTCATGACCGGTCGCGGTCAGACCTGCTCCCCACGATGGTCCCCGCGATGGCCGAGGATCCAATCGGCTTTCAGCATCCTTTTCACAGCCAGGCGGAGACGAGTTGGTAATGCGTGGTTTGGGTATATGATGCGAGAACCCCCTGGGGACATTTGAAGCCAAGTCGTTCAGACACTATCGTGAACCGATAGAACTGGAGTTATGTCGGGCACGCCAGCCATAGATACAAGGAGCCAAAATAGTTTTATAAAGCAAAAACAAAGCAAAAGGCAAAGCAAACAAAAAAGCAAAAAAATGTAGCTGTGCGTATTTGTCGCTTTTTTTTCACTTTTTGTTCGCTTTATTTTCGCATTTTTTTCGCTTTATTTTCGCTTTTTTTTTCCGCGTTTTTTCGCTTTTTTCCTAGGAGGGTACAGCAAACACATATTTGTCGCTTTTTTTTCACTGTTTTTTCGCTTTTTGTTCGCTTTATTTTCGCTTTTGTTTCGCTTTTTTTTCGCTTTTTGTTTTGCTTTGTTTTTGCTTTGTTTTTGCATTTTCATGTGCTTTTATTTTGCTTTTTTTCACTTTTTTTTCACAAAAAGAAATATTTGATGGTTGGCCATGTATGGCTGCCATCGCCCAACATAAAACTGGAGCATTTTAAAACAACAAATCTCACCCGTGTAAGCTGTTGGCCTTGGCAGTCGGCAGTAAAACAAATTGAGATCCAATATAATATCAATAATTCCTGCAGTTCTCTGTGTGTGTATATCGTCTATTATATTCTATTATGGTGTCGAAATGTGTCATTTTCCAAAGACCCAAACTTAACCATCGTGCTGTCAGGTGGGACTCGCAGGGGTCCTCAGCGGTCTGACGGTCCGCACTAGTGTTGTGTGTCGCAGGTGAGTTTGGATCCAAGGGCGTTGACCCTTGGTTGACCCATGTTGACCCTACCAGGAGTCACAAAGGGGTGGTGTTTAGTCCCTAAGTGAGTGGATCATAGACACCCCTAACCTCCAACAAGCACCCCTTTCTGACTGCTGGTATATATGGCTTACCAGGACCTTTTCTAGTGACCTAGAAGGAGATCCCATTTCATGAGGATGTTGAGATGGTCACCAACTCGTGAAAAGGTCACTGGGAAGGTCCTGCTAGATAATGACGACAGGCATGTTCAGATCTAGACACCTGAACGCCGACCTGAATCATTATGCGGGCATTTGTTGTTAGGCTCCTGGATTGTCCAGCTGCTCAGTTGTGTAGAAATGAAGTAAGTTGGTTCCATGTTCATTTCAACAACTGGCCAAAGGTCGGGTATACTGTGGAAGGGATTTGGATACCTGGATACCTTTATTTCTTATCCACTCGTGGTGGGTGGGTCTTCTGGGTGTTTTGGACCCATGTTGTTTATGGATTTGTTGGCTATGTAGTCCTATTGATTGGATTCGGAGCTCGGGATGGAGCGCCCATCATTCCTTTATGAACAAACATGTTGGTCGATTTGGACACATCGGTCACCAGTGGCATGAAGCCACGCTGAAGATTTGGGACATTCTGGGACTTTTTGTTGATTCTGTTTGCAAACAGGTGGGACACTCATCAACTAGACATTACACTCCGTGGAACTCACATGGTTACGTGGATGGCCTGGCCCCGAGTCTGGAAAACCATGAAATCCACTACAAACAGATGGTTGTCCACTTCCATGTGAGTTCCAGGGAGAGTAGACATGTTCCCACTCAAACCTGCCCAGGTGAAGAACAGACCGTGGATTGCTCTCATGGTCTCGGTCCCTTTGAGAGTCGCCGAGGTTCAACAACTGGAGCTCCATCATCGACTTTGGGAATGGCCCAGCGCAGGACACAGCACCAAACGGGGACTCTTCAGCCAAGCGCAGGACTGCTGAGTATACTAGGACCCACAAGGGGTGGTTAATGGACACCCCTTAACCTCTAAGGGGCTATCAATAGACACCCCTTAGGGTGTCCTGGTATAGACTCTTGATGAATCATTCCCCCCTTTTGGTCGAATCCCTGAGTCGATGGACAAATACGAAAAAACATCAACCGAACATCGAAGGGAATCAAAAGGAAATCGCTGGTTTTTTCGCGGCCAGGAGAACATCGTCATTGCCAATCAAAGCAGACTGAACTCCTTGATCTTCGAGGTTTACAGGCCAATAGATGGGAGATGACCTAGAACCTTCGCGAGTCTAAGACTGGGGATCTCCACACATTCTTGCAGATGGTCTATAGATGTCTATAGGCTTAGGGTTTTGGACTGACTGACTCCCAGGTGGATTACGTCCGCGCTTTCAGGCGCACAGGAGCTGTGCAATCTAAAGCGCCAAACGGGTGAAGGTCCAGGTTGGTGATGTGTTTCAGGTCTATCAAGAGTATGTTTCAGAGTGGGACATCCGATGTGTTTTTGGTTGGTCAGCTGCAGAGCTGCAGATGACTCCGAAAAACGTCAAAAGCGTCCGGCGTTTGGGTTCGTGTTTGGCTCAGAGTCAGGTGCTTTGCTTAGTCTGTGCTCGTTGCATGTTCTTCCACCTTTGGGCGCTGCTGCACAGCGCCGTAGCAACCGATGGATGCAATGCTCCCATTCGGAACGCCTCTTCGGCGCAGTCTTTACGGGAGATCCTGATGAGCATGCCCAGAGGTGGGGTCTGGGGCTGTTGGTGGAGATGGTTTTGGGGAGTCCCCCCGAACTTTTGAAAGACTTGGCCCACACACTCCATGATGGACTGGCGGCATAGTTGTACCTATAACCCTCTGTTTAACCACACTATGATCACCAATGCACGTACAAAATCGTAGAAATAAAACCATAGTATATATATTTAATATTTGGAGTCTTTGGGTTGGAAGGTTTGGTTGGAATCATCTCCTCGACTTGGATAAAGACCACATTTGTTTCAGGTCCATCTACAAGTACTACTAGGAGCCTCATGGTCTAATTCTTCGGTAGTACCGAAGCTGACAGTTGGAGCCTTTGACCGAGGTAGGTGGCTGTTCGTACCCGGTTCCACCCAGCGCGACGCCACGCCCAGCTTGGCGTGGAACCAAGCCAATGGACAGCTTCAGGCTATGCATTCTTTGACCTTGATGAGACCTTGGCCATGCCCAGCACACCCTTCATCTTTGGCATGCCTCAGAGCGATGCCTTTCTGAAGCGTCTCACTGCTTGTGAGGAGGAGGCAACCAAAAAGCCGAGCTGTTCCAAAGCTGTTCGCTGCAGACCAACACGGAAGAAAAGGGGGGAGGTGATCATTCCACAAGGGTCACACAGTGTAGTGGAATTGGGTAATCCGCTTCTGTTGGCTCCTCATCGTTACGGTAGGTCTACAATCCCCAGACACTCCATATATGGCGTACATACCTGGTTGAAAAGGGGTCAATGTATCTAAATATGCCAGTCCCATCGGTCGTGTTTGGGGTCCGGATGCTTATATATATATATATTAATCTGTGTGTGTGTGCTGTTCTTTTTGGAGGCCATGTCCTCATTGGGCTCTCGTATGGAAGCGGCCTACTATGCGGCACCGCTTCAGCTGGTGGATCAAACCTTGCCGGCCCTGGTGCGGCACTTGCGCTCGGAGGGCTGGGCTGTCTATGGCGCCACCTCGCGAAGGACCGGCGAAGCTCGCTGAAGTGCTGCGCTGGGTGTGTTTATGTTGTCTTAATATTACTTCATGATTTTAAACCTTTACCTGGAATGATTAAACCCACTCACTCATATTTTTCAAGCGAGCTGAAACCACGAACCAGTGCATCTGCAGGGCTTCCCCCAAAGAAGTTGCTGGCAGTGTATGTATTTATCGGGGAGCCTTCCCGTTTGACCTTCAACGTCGTTGTTTGGAGGTTCTCCCGCGCTATTCAAACAAAAAAATGCCCATACACGACCGATGGGACTGGCATATGTGTGTATGTTCAATTGGTTTTGTCCTGTTGCCTGTAACCGTCGGCAAACAATTATCACTATTTTTGAGAAAGACCTTTACTAACCATCATCATCCACTGTTACAGAATGGGATATACCCCTGGGAGCAATTGTCGCATAAGGACAGTGTGCCATATGACTGGCATAGCTGGCTGCTGGTGGATTTCTTACTGGAACATGGTCTTCACTTCACACCACTGTCAACAGAAACCGTGCACCTGGGCAATGCCACTAGGGCAGGCGGAATCTTCTTCGTGGGCGGCGAAGAGGTGAATAAGGGTCATGTCATTCATCAAGTCGTCCCAGCAGGTCATATGGCGGTGCTCATCGACAACACTTATGACAAATTACTGCGAGCTCGGAGTTCCTCTTCCTGCAGATTTCAGGGCGTGCATTTCACGGCAGCACACGGGTTAGAATCAGATGATGAGTCGAGGCAGCGGTGGTTGTGTGAGCAGCTGGCCCAGATTGGAAGACGTTGCAAGTCCTGTGGCCAAGAGCTGTGAGCGACCTCCTTCCAACAGCACGAGCCAGTGGTCATGTGCAGCCTGGGTCACAAAGAGATGTCTCACTCCAGCCAGTTCCTGTCGCCGTTGCAGTCACTGAGGAAGCAATTGCCTCGAGTCCATATCCCAATTTCATGCACGATGCATTTGCAGCCTGCGTGAACTAGGGACTGGATCGGGCTTCACTCCAAAAGGAGAAACCAAATTTGGTTTTGGTTGACGCGGTTCGACTGAGGCAGATATTCTTGCCCCAGGTGCTTCTAGGTAGCTTTGGATGAATGGTCAAGCACCTGAATCTCAGATCGGTGATGTTGAGCCCAATGTCCTTTGATTTTGAACTCGGTATCACGGATTTTGGATTCAGGTGGTTCTCCAGTTCTCCATTCCAAAGCCTTCTTCATTTCAATCGTGAACGCCTCAATGCAGTGAGGGATGCTACACGGTGCCTTCTTTACATACTGTTTGAGAGAATGTTTAGAGAGAACGTCCAGGCCATGCCAATTAGGAAGGATCAGCTTCATCATGGATCATGGATCCATGCACATCGTTTTGCTTCTGAACTGGATCGTCTTTCTTTGCGAGACGCCCATTCCGCGAGACGTTTCGCTGCACCGCCGTTGACGTGCATCTTAGCCTCCGTGCTCATCACAATGGTTTCGTCTTTGCCCAGATTCGTGCATCTCTGCGAAAGTCAAAGACGGTCACTTTGAGGAAGCAGATTTAGGGTCTCCCCCAACCAAGTTCCAAATGGGTTCGGGTCGGGTGGATGTTCGTCGTCTTCGGGTGGATGTGAGTCGTTGTGCCCTGCGCGTTGAACGGCAGCGGGCATCGACAGGAAGAAGTCCTTGACACCCCACAGATCCTGCCATAGGCCGAGCCAACCCCCCAAGAGAGTCTTTGTTTTGATCAACTGGATGAACTGAACTGTCTATTGGGAAGTGCAAAGATGATACCCCTCCAAGAATCATGGCAGTCTTGGTTCATCCATGGCAGTCTGGGGAGACGATTCCATGGCAGTTTGGTCGTCCACTTCCATGTCATGTGAGTCAGAGTGTAACATGACGATCAATTGCTGACGCTTACAACCATCCAAGCCAGCTGGTGTGGCCCTCCCGAGCCCAACAACAATCCAAGAAAAGCACCCTTATACACACCAACCCCATTCAAACACATGTCGCAAACGATCCTTGGTTCTAAGGGGATGGATTGAACCCCCTCTAGGGCACTTTTGATCCATAGAGCCGTATGGAGAACATCTGTCCCGGAGCCATAGAACCTGATTAACGGATTTTGTTGCTCTGGATCTTGCTGCGGTCCCATGCAGTGCAGGATTCTTGGGCCATTGAAATGATATTCCCCCCTATTCGGACCACATGGAACACCCAAAGCCGCTAGCGGTTGTAGAGGGAAACCATGGAATTCCGCTGCCACCGGTGAATTCTCAGGGTCAAACGGGATCGTTTGCGGGTCCATCGTTGATCCCCAAACGGCCCAAACGGCAGGTGGGGCGAGCGCTTCGCCGTGGTCGCGCCTGCCGTGCTGAAGCTCCACGAGACCTGCACGCGCGAAGACTCAGACGAAACGGTTTCCGCTTTCAGAATCGATGGCGCAGACCATCTAAGATGTCCTGCAAAGATGGTGGCCATAGGGACTGTGCCATCTACTCTGAAACCATTTTCTTTTTTGTGGGTGGTGTGTAGGATGTGGATGGATTTGGTGCGCTGGCAACCTCAGAGAGAAATTTTGAAGCAGCACAAAAGGTCCAGAGGCCGCCATTTTGTTCACTTGATTTGAGGTGGGGGCTGCGGGGCTGTGTGGAGGTCCATTAAAATTCTGATATGGAATATGTGTGGACTATTGATTTTGGCCAGCCAATTGCATTTGTTCTTCAGTGTGTGTTGGTGTACCTACTGTAAATTAAATTGACAAATGAGGGGACTCACACTTAGTGGTCTAGCCTTTTCAGCCCCATGGCAGTTCCTTTTGTCGGCAACGAGTTCGTCGCGGTCACGAATCCACCGGTGTCAGTCCTCGTTGCTGGTTCCGTTCCTGGAACGCCACCGGACCTACGCCAGCTCACCGCGCGGCGTAACGCGAGGTATTTATGTTCGATCTCGGAGGATGGGGTCATGTGCATCCAGTGCAACGGCGAGATCATCGGCGCCCCGGTGGATGCGAGCGACATGTTGTTCGGCCTTATTTTTCGGGCAGGAAGTGGAGGAGTGGCCTTGTTTTTGTCTTTCTTTGGGTTGGGTTCAGACTGAGCCAAGCAGATGCGAACAGAGCAGCTCGGCAGGTTTGGTTTTGATGTGGGCTTTTGAAGGGTCCTTTGGTCCCCAAAAGATGTTGGGCAAGTTTGCTTGCCGACTCAGACCACAGTTAGGCTAGGCTAGCCATGTTTAATCAACGATGTGTTGACTGAATACCCAGTTTTCTGAAACTACAGGAGCCGTAGTTAGTACAAAGCGGGTTCCAAGAATGACTTAAAGATACGGAACTCTAATTGGTTGAAACCTACCCCACACACAGACCTTGCATGCAGAACACCCAGAGCCCATGGGTGAACGCAGCTCATCATCCCTGACCGAAGCCCCCCGGAGGTCAACGCGAAGATCGGTACACCCTCCACCCCCCGGGCGCTGCTTGTTCGCCGCCGTCCGTGTCGAGGTCAACGGAAAGGAGTCCCCAGCGTGGCGCCCATTGCAAGGCTACGTGGAGGGGTGGAGGGCTTCAGAGGGGGGGGGGGGAGGGGCTGGTCTTTGGAGGGACGCTTGATCCAACGAAGCGAGTCATGTTGAGAATCCCGAAGTCTCCGGTCCTGTTTGACGTCAAAGGCAAAGGATCTTCCTGGAGGGAGTACTCAAAGCGAAGACACGCCAGACATCGCAAAACAGCATCCAACAGTCATCCAAGCGTATCTAAATCACCAGTACTGCATTCTGCACACTAACATGGTTTCCACTTCACCTCAGCTGCATGCAAGGATCCGTTGAGAAAGATCAGTTTCAGTCGATCACGGGGACGAGCTTTTGTGGTGCCCCGTGGTGCACCACGGACTGCGGTGGTTGCAGTGTTTTCTCCAGGCGCTTGCCCAAAAAGGGGGAACTGGAACCTGAAGCATACAGATCGATCTCTTTGACTCAAGATCACAGGAATACAACATACGGCAGGACGTTTTGGTGTTTTTCATCCCGCAGGACTTTTGGTTGAGACCATGTTTGTGCAGATGTGTAGCGTGACTTGTTACTGGTTGGCGAAGAAAGACAGGAGTTAAACACGAAGACACTAATTCCACGACCCAGTATGGGGTGTCTAATGAGAACTCATTATAAGAACCAGAGAAATTCAGGGGTGTCATGGGGTACGTGTCATTGTTCCATCTTGCTCGGCCGCGACTTCAATCGGGTCACCAGGTCAAGCCAACGCCCAGGTCAGACCTTACTTCGGAAGGGGATGAAGCTATCCTATTTGAGTTCAGGTTCTGGTGGTCCAACCAGGACCCTCACCATTTCGGCCGGTCGTGTTTGGGTTCGCCACGGTCTCCCACCATCTCCCACCGGAGATGCCGTACCACGACCAGGAAGTACCTCTACGTTGGGAAGTCCTGTTCGGGAGCCCGAAAAAGCGGAAAGCTCCAAGGGATGGCTCGGGAATCTACAGAAGGCATTACATTCTTGACCAGCACCCTCCTGGCCAGCCAGGCTGTGAATCTTGGGACCCGACCCTCCATTGCTCGCTTCTGGGCACCGGACCACAGCCACTTTCGGTGCTTCACCAAACTTGGATCTAGGATGATCTAGGTATAGATGGTATAGAAAATCCGTCGGATTTTCCCTAAATCCGCTTGGTGTGTTTATCATGTCTTCAAGCAGGATTTGTGTTCCGATCCAATGATGAAGGATGAACCATTGAATCGAAATTCGAAACACCATTTGCTCCATTTGTGTTGAACATGACTGGGCTTTCCCCGTCAAACATGTTGTGCTGTCCTAAGTCCTGGCAGACAGGCCTTCGTGTTTCGTAAACCAACAGAGGGACCTTTCTATAGACAAAAAAGACCATAATTGCCTCAGCACTCAATGGATCCTTTGAAAAACCGACTGGCGCACCAATTCCAATTTTCAGGCACAAATTCCCTATATCTCCCTTCGGATGCTGTGCAGTACCCGCTGACATGTCAGGGCTGCCATTGGAGGCATCGAGAACACCTTGACAGTGGGTTCAGAGTAGATGGCACAATCCCCAAGAGGTGGTATATATCAACCCCCATCTGAAGGACAATGTAGAGGTGCCAGTGCCATCTACTCTGAAACCACTGCAATTCATTTCCAGGCCTCCAAGCCGCGTCCTTTCGCATTAACAGGAAAAACGTGCGATCCCCTGCGGACCCGCAAAAATGGAGCCTGAAGGGTCGGAGAATCCACTTCCACCAATCTTCCGCGCAGGTTGGTCCGAGCGCGACATGTTCCACGGCAGCGTCCAACAGCTCAAGGCGGCGTGTTATAGAGAGAGCGCGCGGGCAGTGCCCGTTGGCGGGCAGTGCCCGTTGGGACTGGCATGAGCTGGTTGGGACTGGCATGTTATATGTTTATAATTGTTTATATTTGTATCATGTTTATAAGCATCGTTGATCAACATTTGGGTGTTGTGTCTATGCGGTCAATGTCGGCATCATGCGGCATCAATTGACAGATTCGTGATTAAGTAATCCCATCGACTTGGATTGGAAAACCTCTTCAAAATCTTCATATGACATAAAGGGGGGGTTTATGAATCCAGAGTCTACATTCGATTCTATTCCATACCATGAAGTGTTTGGAAAGGCTTTGGGAGCCAAGGCTTTGGAATGGTTTTATGATGTTTTATGCATGTACCTGTAGGAGGTCCAAAGGGCCATACTCAGCGTTCTTCCTTTGTGTGAAAATCATGAACAGTGCATGGCATGCTCATGGCCATGCTCATGGCGCTCCGCTGGCTTTGCTTCGGGTCAGATGAGCCCTGCAGTTGAAGGTGGAAGAGGTCCGCCGTTCTTATCGTCAGAAGGGCCCAACAACAAGGATTCATCTCATCGTGTTACGTCGGGTCTTGAGGGACACCTGCGTCCACTGGGTCCGCTTCGTCCTCGCTAGCCGCTAGCCTTTCCACATCATTCCACAGTTAGTCCCACCTTTCTGGAGTCTCTAAGTGACCTAAGTGGAGGCCTGTTGGTGACCTCAAGCCCAGGGATGACAAGGCCAGGTCAAAGCATCCGACCGGGCAACGGTGATCCTCCCTGTGACGGTTCGCTTGTCGTTTACAATTCGGTGAGGTCTACAACGGTCAGATCGTGGATTGGCATGAAGTGGTGGCCGCGACCTTAGGATGGGTCAACACAGGCATGGGCGACCTTAGGATGGATAGGTGTCAGGTATTTAGGGTTTGTGGGGGCTTCATCCAGGAAAGATGCCACTTGTTTGTTGGCCTTTTGGGAGGGTCATCCCATGATGTCGCATGATGCCGCATGAGCACATCAACGTCAACTCTTCTTGGAAAGCTTGTGCGGAAGGTGGGTTGACATAGGGTTTGGGGAAGAATGATGAACCATGGACATGTATTGTGGAGACCTCCATGGTGACATTGAAGCCTCACCATGCGAAACTTAAAATATCACAGACCCGCTCCAGACCGAATTCGGAGAGTTGGATCATATAACAGGAGGAGGAAAATCCATCA